AGGCCCGACACATGCTTGCCCGAACTGCACATAATCGTGTCCGGAAGATTTCACAGCCTCGTGCCGGACAGCTTGTGTTTTTCTGGAGAGCAGAGTGCAAGAAGGAGCCAAGTAGATGGGTTGGTCCTGGGTACGTTGTGGGACTTCAAGGGCATAATGCTTGGGTTGCGGTTGGAGGTCGTTGCTTCTTGGTGGTAGGGGAGCACTTGAAAGAGGCATGTGGTGAGAGAAACATTTTGGAGATCCTCAGATTCAGAAGGCCATCGCTCTTTTCAAGAAGGGTCCCAAGGAAACCACTTTCGAGGATTTGACTCTTCAGAACGACCCCACGGAAGAGCCTATGGAGGTCGAAGCGCAACCACTTACTCAGGAAGTGTCGGCAGAAGCAGGCAACTTGCAAGAAGGTGTCAGCGCACTCCCTCAGACGTTGCAAGCTGTTGTTACCAAGGTTGGCTGGCAGGTTGATGGGGTAGGAAATCCGGTTTTGGTTACGAGGCAGGCCTGGGCCTTTCGGACTCCCGAGTCGAAATACGAGGTTCATCGTTTACCTTACAGCGCTACGTGGGCTAGGTATGCCGGGGAGTGGGTTTGCCTTGAGAGAGAGAGAGATCAAGTGGTGTGAACAGGATAACCCTAACGGATACCTTCCTCGTACCCCTGCTGAGATGCTCATTACTGTCTTCCAGGGTCGTACTAAGCGGGAGATTTGTCTGGAGGATGTTCCTTTTAGAGCATCAAGAAGCAGAGAGCTGAGCATCAAGTGAATACTGTCACGTATGGGAAAGTCATGGGAAAGAATAAGCTCAAGAGGATGATGGACAAGGAGATTCCCTACAAGAAGATTCCCATTCATGAGAGAGAGCTTTACCACCAGGCGCAAGAGAAGGAGTGGAACAGCTGGAGAGAGTTTGAGAGTGAGGTGCTGAGTGGAGAGGAGAGTGAGAGGGTGATGAGAGAGACTCCCAGCCGGGTTCTTCCTAGTAGATATGTCTACCGGAATAAGAATGCGGGTCTTGTGGATGAGAGACGAGCTCCGTTGCCCACCCGTTTGTGCTTCCAGGGGCACCTGTGCCCTGATGCACGCACAGGACAAGTCCAGGTTGACTCTCCGACAGTGGAGAGAATTTCGACGATGGTGTTTCTCCACGTGGCAGCCAGTTTTGGGTGGATCAATAACTGGTATATAGGCGACATAAGCAATGCTTTCCTTTAGGGCGCCCGCTTACGGGTAAGGAGCCTATGTACATGAAACCACCCAAACAAGGGCTTGCCGGGGTGAAGCCAAATCAACTCCTCAGGTTGCTTAAGCCAGTGTACGGGAGGCCCGACGCTCCTAGAGCTTGGTACGAAGAGTTGGCTAGGGTTTTGACCGGAGAACTGGGGTACACCAAGTCTTGCATTGACCCGGCTGTCTTCATGCTGAAAAACGAAAGGGGTATCCTGTGTGGCATCGTGATCGTTCATGTTGACGACCTTATGGTTTGTCATGATGGATCAGAGTTTGCTCAGAGGATAGAGAGTCAGCTGGGGAAGCGTTTTCCTTTTGGCACCTGGGACAAGGTTTCTGATAAAGCCAATGGAATTACAATAATTACATGCTGTGGCAAGGAGATCCGCTTGAAGCAGTGCGAAGGAGCACAATGCATCTCGTTATCTCAGGATGGCTTCATCGATGGGAGACTAGAAGAGATGGAAGTCTCTAAGGATCGGAAACGAAGTCCCGAATTGCCAGCTACCGAAGAGGAGCGGACCGAGTACCGGTCCATTGTGGGAAGCCTGCAGTGGATCGCGACACAGTCACGTCCGGACCTGAGTTTCGAGACTCATCAACTTCAGAAAAGGGTCTCTGATCTCAGAGTGGGAGACCTGGTCCGGGCGAACAAAGCCGTGCGAGAAGCCAAGCTCCATAGGATGGAACTCATCTTCCGAAACTTAGGCCGTGATTCCCAACTCAGTATATACTCCGATGCCGGTCTTTATTCGAGTGTTGGAGTTGAGATAGAGGAAAGGGAAGCTGATGATGTCCTGCAGAGCTCGCTTGACAAACGTTTGGTCTTTTCTCAAAAAGGGGCGGTGGTCGGATTCGTGAAACGAGGGTCGACTGACGTCCGGGGTACTCCAGCCCATATGAATATTCTCGACCGGAGGAGTAGCACTAACAAAAGAGTGATCGCGTCCAAATTCGCCGCCGAAACTCATGCCGCTTTGATGGGGCTGGGCATGGGACACTTTAGCCAGGTTCTTATGAGCGAGTTGCGTTTTGGGTCGGATGTTGTGGGTAGTGTTGAAGATGACGGATGGAGTGATCTGGTGCCCATGACGTTAGTTACCGATTGTAAGTCCATTTACGATACAGTTCATAAGGACGGGCAGCACATTAGTGACAAAGGCACTGTCATCCATGCTGTACTTCTCCGTCAAATGCTTACAACACGTCAAGCATTGAAAACGAAGCTCTTGTGGGTGCCTACCAGACATCAGCTCGCTGATGGCCTTACTAAAAGTGGTCGTTCACGAGACTTACGAGAGCTCGTTCAGTGCGGCGTGACTTTTCGCGAAGAGGCTTGCAAGCGCAAGTCAGGTCAAAAAGATAATGATAGCAGTGTGAATGTGTGCCCTGCGGCTTGACCTGACTGCTTTTCAGCCTCTTTGAGAGTTGAGTTTAGGGACGAAGGTCCAAGATGTCCGCAGCCACGAGTGGCTCCCGGTGTACACGCGGAAAAGGCTGCTGAGCGTTGCGGTTCATGGTTGCAGCTGCGGTTTTGCGGTTTGGCTTCTGCAGAAGGGCAAGGCGTGTGGTACATTAAGGAAAGTGAAAACATTTCCTGAAGCTGAGCAAAGAATTCGAAAATATCCTGGTTCGCTACCCTGTGTGAGAGGGGAACTTTGCATTGTCACATGCTCCAGCATGTGCGGAATTTGAGGAATGTTCGTGCCCCTTGGTTCATTTGTCGGATTATTAACAAGGAATCAGGATTTCCAGTGTTCCATGTGACCTCGAATCTGCATGCTGCACATCATACAGTGGGTTGGGAGAGGGCTACATGGGGAAGGTGGTCAAGATGATGGCCCGGTGTGGTTCGGAAGAAGCAAGCTCAAACTCAACATGAAAAGCCACCTGGCCATCCAGTTGGAACAGATCAAGGTGCAAAACGGGGCAGATTGTACTGGCTTGGGCTGGATTCTGGATGGCACGTTTTCAGTGGTAGTGGGATCAGAACTGTTTTGTACAGCACAAGGACCGGATGACCACATTTCAGATCACCGAACTTGAGGGGCTGGATGGCACACCGTTTCACAGAGATGTGTGGCAGAAGAGCTACCTCGTAAGGAGCTTGAGCCTCAACTTGGGTTTTAGGAAACCCTTCCAAGCCCCTCGAAAATGAAAAGGTCAGAAGGTTAGGTACCAACGAACGGAAGGTTAATTGCTACGAACAGGGACCCCGAAGCCACGCCCACAACCCGCACACACCACGCGCATTAGTTTACGGGCTCCAGCTCCATATCCCTGGCGGACAACTGGGGACGAAACGGACGACTGGCGGGGACGAGGCGGACGACTCTGGCAAGAACGGCTTGGGGGGACGGCGGGCGGGGACGGAACTGGGCGGACGACTCTGGCAGGGTCACCGTGCCTCTGCTTGCCAGACTCTGGCGGGAACGGCGAGACAGATCCAACACATGTAACTTTACATTGAAAGCCTTCGAAATATACACCTTTTTTGGGGTTTAAACTTGGGGGTGCAAACTGACATCCCAACTCAAAGTGTAGGGTCACCCAAAGTGTACACATATTGAGGTTGGCCCAGCCAAAAGCATAAACAGTTTTTGGGCTTGTTCTCTCGCATTTTCCCACCCACCTCTTCAATACAATGCTGATTGTCGAAAAAGGCCATCCACGACTCTGGAAAATGTTTTCGAAGCAGTGCAGCAGCATGGCAACCAGGTCGTGGCATGTCCGCACCTCGTCGAGCTTGAGGCCATGCAGGATAGCTATGACGACAATTTCTCGGCTGTCGCCGAGACCTTTGCTGCCAACCTGCCCAAAAACCACATGCCAGAGCACATGCCGCAAAGAATGGAGCAAGACAAGGTCGAGGTGGCCGATGACCCCGAGTGTCACGAAGGCGACTCGTGTCTGGGGTAATGGTCCAGGCATGCATAATTCGATGCGTGGAGGGATCTTACGATACCTTCATCGGGGATGCCGGGGATCGCTCATGCCAGTGCCCCGCATATTCAGAGGACTCGTGGGAGCATGGCGCACCGCTGTCTGTCCCGTCCGATCTAGGCATGCCCGTCGGGTATCGCGCAAAGTTGAAAAGCAAAGCAGCGTGTGCAGGACAACAGTCGCGCAGCGACGCAGACCCCTAAATTCGAGAGAAGGGCAGCTTCGGCCGAGACACGTGCACTTAGGTGAATAGCACTTGTGTTGCTTAGTTTCTTGTTACTGTGGGTGCTCATGGTATTTTAGTTACCACAGCTGCCTGCTGCTGCTACTTACTACTGCTGCTGCTGCTGCTGCTGCTCGCTGCTGCTGCTGCAACAACAACAACTACTACTACTACTACTATTGCTGCTCCTACTACTACTACTACTACTGCTGCTTACTACCTACTACTAGTACTACTACTATTACTACTACTACTACTACTCCTCCTCCTACTGTTGCTCCTACTACCACCGCTACTGCCACCGCTACTACTACTTCTGCTGCTATGCTGGGCGTGTTTGATGTGTCCTTGCTTTGTCATTTGTTTGAAACAGTTGCACATGTTTGTACGCAGACCGTCAAAAAAGCGAGATCTGCATGATTTTGTAACCCTAAACCCTAAATCCTGAACCCTAAACCCTAAACCCAAACCCTAAACCCTAAACCATTTTGGGGTTGTTCTCTCGCATTTTCCCACCCACCTCTTCAATACCATGCTGATTGTCGAAAAAGGCCATCCACGACTCTGGAAAATGTTTTCGAAGCAGTGCAGCAGCATGGCAACCAGGTCGTGGCATGTCCGCACCTCATCGAGCTTGAGGCCATGCAGGATAGCTATGACGTCAATCTCTCGGCTGTCGCCGAGACCTTTGCTGCCAACCTGCCCAAAAACCACATGCCAGAGCACATGCCGCGAAGAATGGAGCAAGACAAGGTCGAGGTGGCCGATGACCCCGAGTGTCACGAAGGCGACTCGTGTCTGGGGTAATGGTCCAGACATGCATAACTCGATGCGTGGAGGGATCGTACGATACCTTCATCGGGGATGCCGGGGATCGCTCATGCCAGAGCGCCGCATATTCAGAGGACTCGTGGGAGCATGGCGCACCGCTGTTTGTCCCGTCCGATCTAGGCATGCCCGTCGGGTATCCCGCAAAGTTGAAAAAGCAAAGCAGCGTGTGCAGGACAACGGCGCAGCGACGGAGACCCCTAAATTCGAGAGAAGGGCAGCTTCGGCCGAGACACGCACACTTAGGTGAATGAGCACTTGTGTTGTTTAGTTTCTTGTTATTGTGGGTGCTCATGGTATTTTAGTTACCACAACTGCGTTTTGCTGCGACTTACTACTGCTGCTGCTGCTGCTGCTGCTGCTACAACAACAACAACAACTACTACTACTACTACTACTACTGCTCCTACTACCACCGTTAGAACTACTACTACTACTACTACTACTACTACTACTAGCCACCCCCGCCCCCTACCAACCACCTGGCGCATCAATCCACCACCATCATCGATCATCATCATCCATCATCATCCATCATCATCCTTC